CGAGCAGCAGCGCGCCCACCAGACGCTCGCGGCCATCTTCGACATGACACCCGATCTCGTCTGCCAGGCCACCGAGCGCGGCGAGGTCACCTACCTGAACCCGGCGGCGCGTGCGCGGCTGGGCCTCGCGCCGGATGCGCCGCTGACCGACGCGCACATCGTCGACTTCTTCACCGTCGAGCAGCTCGAGGCCTACGAGCGCGACGTGCTGCCCCAGGCGATGCGCGAGGGCCACTGGCGCGGCCGCATCGGCCTGCACCTGGGTGAGGCGCGCGTGCCGATGGAATGCCTCGTGATCGTCCACCTGGACGTGCGCGGTCGCATCGAGACGGTGTCGGTCATCCTGCGCGACATGTCCGAGCAATTGCGCGCGCAGCGTGAGCGGGAGCGCAGCGAGGCGATGCTGCTGGCCGTGGCCCACACGGCGCGTGCGCAGTTCCTCGTGGCGGACAACGACGCGCGCGTGATCTTCTTCAACGCCGCCTTCGGCGAGCAGCGCCGCGTGCAGCTGCCCGACTGGGTGGGCCGCCCGCTGGCCGAGCTGTTCGGCAGCCATGACTACGCCGCGCGCGCGCCGCTCGTGCAGCGGGCCCTCGCTGGCGAGACGCAGCGGCTCGACCTGCGTGACGGTGCGGAGCGCGAGGGCCGCAGCTTCGACGTGCAGTACGCGCCGCTGCGCGTGCAAAGCGGCAAGATCGAAGGGCTGATCGCCATCGAGGTCGACGTGACCGAGGCGCGTCGCGAGGAAGCCCGGCTGCGCCTGGCCTCCCAGACGGACCCGCTGACGCAGCTGCTCAACCGCACCGGTTTCGACGAAGGCGCGCGCCAGCTGCTGGCGGCGACGGCCGGTCACCGTGTGGCGCTGCTCTACCTGGACCTGGACCGCTTCAAGCCCGTCAACGACGAGCACGGCCACCCCACGGGTGATGCGCTGCTGAAGGCCGTGGCGTTGCGGCTGCGGCATGCACTGCGGCCCGGCGACCTCGTCGGTCGTCTGGGCGGCGACGAGTTCGCGGTCATGCTGCCCCTGCTGCACGAGGCGGGTGCGGCGGCGACGGTGTCGGCCAAGCTCGTGACGGCGTTGAGTGCGCCGTATCACATCGGTCATCTGGAGCTGGAGATCGGCGTGAGCATCGGCTATGCGGTCGGCACCACCGGCTCGGCCAGCCTGGAGGAGCTGGTGGCCGAAGCGGACACCTGGCTCTACGAAGCCAAACGCGCCGGCCGGGGTTGCTGGCGCGGCAGCGAGTTGCCGGCCGACTGAACTCAGGCCGAGACGCTGGCCTTGATCTCGCTCAGCGCCAGCTGCAGCACGCGGGCATCGCTGCTGGCGCGGTGGCGCGTCAGGCGCTGGCGCTG